GTAACGTGTGTACGCCTTTTCCTGCATCTACGACCTACGGTCACCCAGCTCTCTCGACCTCTCTGCTCTTCATTCTCCCTCCTCCCCGCTAGTGGTGTACACACCATCTCCCTAGACGGTGTATTAACTAGCTCCTCTAACTCACTGTTGCATTGGATGAGAGCCAGTTGCTCCTCAAGGTCGCAAACCTTGACCATGAGTGAGTCCACTAGCTTACATCGTGCGCAGATGAAGTACGACTGGACACTAACGTCCAGAAGGGCAAACATCTTGCAAACGCAACACTGAGCCGGCCCCATAATTAACTAACTCACTATGACCCCATACTCCCAGCCCAGTAAATTTATATAGTGTATTTAACTATAAAGATTAATTTGCGTAACAATAAATGCAGTAAAGTGCTGAGTACACTAAAATAAGTTATTACTTGTGTTAAAACGGAACTTAATTATTATTGTTATTTAAAATTTTAAACCTGATAAATTTACTACTACTTACCAGAAGAACTTCTGCCTGAACCAAGTATGAACTAAAAACAAGGCGAAATCAAAGTTGCTCTTGGGAGGTCGAAAAACCACAAAAACCCCCTCACAGCAGGCTACTGCCGGAGCGGGAAAAAAGTAGAAAATGTCCTCCCGGCCCCGACTGGCGACCGAGCAAAGCTCAGGAGCAACTGTCCTTTTCCGGCGCTGGGTAACGATACCGACGTTAGATATTATTAGTTATTATTCACTCCGCAGGTGTTTGTTACGGAGTTAAAGGCGGACAGAAAACGCCACTCACGCGACACCCGCAGCTCACTGTCGGTAATAATCGCGCTGTTAATTAACAGACAGGACAGACAAGCACTCACGCCGACCGAAATAAGAACAATAAATAGAAATAAAACAGCCACCAACGTAAACTGATAAAGCACACAAACACTCAAAATATACGTTCAAAATACATTCGAAACACTCCAAAAAACAATCACAAACAATCTCTGCAGCTCAACACCACTCTCTCGCAGCAATCCCAGCAATTTTGTGTTTTTTGTAGAATTGGAGCGAAATTAAGAGAACATCAAGGATTGATTCCTGCCAATAACAATACCAAGATAGGTGATGGAGTCTTTCACTGGAATACCAGCAATAGAAGGATTAGTACAGTTTCTAAGGGCAAAAAGTTCACATTTCCCAATATTTAAATGAAGGCCTGAAGCATTAGAAAAAGACTTAATTATGTTGATGGCTGTTGTCACCTGAGAAGAATCTTTTAAAAATAGAGTAGTATCGTCCGCCAACTGACTTATAACAATTTCTCTGTCTGCAATTGTTATGCCTTTCAAGGGACTAAGTTTAATATAATCACATAGGAGTTGGGCACAGATCAAAAATAAGTATGGGGAAATAGGGCAGCCTTGCCTGATACCTCGGTTCAGATCAAATCTAGGAGAAGTACCTGCATGCAATTTGATGGAGCAGTTAGCATTATTATATAATGTTGTAATAGCTTTTATAAAGAAGGGGCCAAAGCCAAATTTGTTCAAAGCCTTAAAAATGAAGCCATGTTCAATAGTATCGAATGTTTTACGAAAATCCACAAATAATATAAAATTATTGTCCTCACAAAAATCTGAATAATCAATTAAGCCTAGAACAAGCCTAATGTTATTCGATATCTGTAACAGAGTTGAGTCACGTTTCCTGTGGAGGTGACATATTTCCATCTGCAGCTGGACCCTTCTCAGAAGAATTGGCAGCCTTGCCTTTTTTTTTTGCAAAAGAAAAAATAAATTTTCTAAATATAGAGATAAGTAAACTCTGGTATTTTTAATTTTGACAGTATATTATTTATAAGTACCTTGAGTCCACTTTGCATACATTTGCCATTGCTTAGTTCGTTTGTATTAAACAAAGTCATCCATATTACTTGACATCCATTACGTGTTTTATTTTGGAGGAGGGGGTTGGGGGGCCGTGAAGCGTGCCTAGTAGAGGTCGACCGATATATCGGAGAAAACGGTAAGGCTTAAATTCTGATCTTTCAAAGACGTATTTAATTGGTTTGCTATGAAATGTTGCTTTAAAAGAAAATGCGAGTGCTTTTGAAAGAGAACGCGAATTACGCTGTCGGGAACTGGCGTAATGATAACGAGCCTTCAACCAACTGTAGCTTACAGGTAACGTTAAGGATCATTGATTCTGACAGTTTTGTGCGCTTGTTGGTGGGCTCACAGAGGTTTTTTTTAATCGTTAAAAATCATTTTAATTGTTAAAATTTTAATTAATACCATAGCCCGATGTTATCAGTTCTGTTTTTTTTTCTTGTATCGGAGAGTTTCACTCTGTGTGTGTGGGGCGGAGCAGGCAGTGTGTGAAAGTTGCGTTACTCTGCCCCGATCACAGAGCTGCTAAGAACAATACATGGCGGAAAAACTGTTTGTTCGAAAGCGTGGTTACCATTCACTTCAGCTGATGCCGACAATGGTCCTTCTGTGTAACTTGTTTGCATCTGAGAGCGGAAATTCGAACAATGTGTCAGACATCTAGATAAAAAGTGCACGACTTTGCAAATTTCCTTATTAAACATGTCTATCCTTTATACGGTGTTGGAGTCGAACTCCGCCGGGTCCATTGATGAGAAGAGATTCACTGCACAGTCGAGGAGTAGTTGCAAGTCACCAGTTTATTCTCTATTCAGATTGCAATCAGGGAGCAACCATCTGACATACATTCAGCATGTACAGAAAGAAGCTCGAACCATACGTGTCGGCTCTGGGTCTTTATAGGCCTTTTGGGGTGTGGCCCCCCTTTTCTGTACTTTTCCATCTACGTGACTACAACATATTTCGACATTTGCTCTAGTTAGCCAGTGAGTACATGTTCCCCCCTCCCCCCTTTATGTTATGCAAAAGTTAAAAGAAGCATTGGATATCTGATGGGTTCCTGTCTTCCTGCTGTCTGGTACGAGGTCATCTTGACCTGTTCTCTTGCTGTCAGTTCCTGATTTCTCCCAACTGCATGGAGTGAGATCACCCAATCCTGCAGGCCTAGTATCAGTTCCCATTTTTAGTGTCTGCATTATATTAGACACTGTGTTATTAGAAATTAGTAAATTAGTATTTGGATTATTGTATAATTAACCCCTCAACAGGCTTATCCGTCGACAACGTCACAATCACTAGGGGCTTACGTTGTCCTTTCATACAAGGCTGTGTAATACGACAAAGTTATTTTATTTTCTGCGATCGCTAGATTCTAATTGTGAATTTGGCTTGTAAACTGTCTGCCTGCTAACAACATAAACATGTTAGTGAAAGGTTTTGGGCCTTGTACACTACTCATCATACCATGATGCACTTAGGTACTAGTGTTTTTTTTCTTTCAAAATGTATTAGAGTGTATGTAGAGTGTATAGCATGGAGTACTGGAATTGTAGAATGAATTGAAGATGAAGACATTATAATAAAAATAATAACTTTGCATTTTTTCTTCTGATTTAGTAAATGTTGTATGATGGCTGAACAAAAATCTAATCCTGGGAGTACCAACAACTTTCAGTGAGGGATGGGTGGGGCGAGGAAGACTCGGGGACTGGATTCATATTATGTCTAGTAAAAATGCAATTGCAGATATCTATAATTGTATTGTGGATATCGGTTGACGAGTAGATAGGATGCCGTTTTAACATAAAATGGGTCCATTGACTATCCACAATTAGCGTCACCTCGCTCCACTTTCGTATACTGCTGCTGTACCAGACCAGTTCACACCCTGTGTCTGAAGCATGACTGACCCAGAAATAAACCATTTCTACTTGAATGTGGATTTGTTTGCTCATTTATTTTGATGCCAGGCTAAAGTTCAAGCTAAAATTAAAATATGATGCAGGTTGTTTTCATTTTTGGAGACAGCGGTGAGCAATTTCCTTGGAGCGGGATTAAAATTGACCTGAGAGGGGGGTGATAATGAGCGAAGCGGCTGTGAGTGGGGGGAGCTGGAGGAGCGTACGGCTCCGTGAGCGATGAGCTCCACTTATATGCTCTGGTCAAAATGATGCATTTTGTGAGTGAATGACTGTCCCATGCACTGACTGCGAACACCTGACAGCCCCTCAACACACCACTTGCCCTAGCTGTCTTTCTGTTAGCAGACCCTCTGGGTGACCAAATCAAAAATGAAACTGGAGCAAAACTGGTAAATCCAGCTAATATTGATTTAGAAAGAAAGACGATGTGGATATCTGAAATGACAATTATGGATAGGAAGAATGTCATTGTGGATATCTGAAATGCTCTTTTTGACCAGGAAGAATTGAATTAAAGATATCTGCAATACATATCCAGTCTAGTGATTAAATGTTAAAACGGCTTGCCATAGTGCCTAGGGCTCCACCTGGGCTCTGACCGGGAGTACTATGCCAACTACAGACTTCCTGTTCTGTGTGTATTGTTGCCACATCCCCCATCACCAAGCAGCAACACTCAGACAAATCAAGGTACCATGTCCCAGTAACACTGGCTGAAAAGTGATACTCCCAGTCACGTTCATTCACGCACCTGCTGCTTGTAGCAGTCCTTCCTGTCGCTCTGAGAGCTGGTCAGGCAGGAAGCAGTCTCTGTGTTGTTTTGGCAGGGGCAGCCTGTGCCATCATGCTCGTTGCAGGTGTCTGCATGGCCGTTACACTGACACCTGCGGGACAGGAGGAGTCATTGCAGCACATTAACCCCAACTGGCCCATTTCCCCACGTGCTGCCAAGGAAGGTTTACATTGTCACAACAGAGAAGTGGTTTTAATGATCAGAACTGCTAACAGGTCATAGGCTTTGCTCAGTCTGCATTTTTAATTGCAATTTGTTTTGCGATTTTGCAATTTATTATCCAGTTTTCTACATCATAGTTTGTGTTACCATATTCTAGTCAAATCGGAAGTGTAAAATGTTCATTGTATATTGATACATTTTCAAAATGAGACATCACCTACTGTTTATATCGATATACTTTCACCGTGCATTAAAATGAGGGCCTTATTAAAGATTTAACAGACTAATAGTATTCCTTTCCTGGCTGTAAGCAACATGAGAACTGAGGTTGCGATGTTGCACAGAATCCTAGTGTTTACAGCTAAAGGCTGACACATTTTTGTGTTTTGGGTATCAGACTGGTGCCATCTCTAATGATTGTACATACCAGTGACTGTATCTCATCCACATTTTTTCCTCTACAGTTCTTGTGCCCAGCCAGAAATAGCAATTTTATGCGATCATGAGCCAGCAGAGTTTTAGTCACTCTCATTTGCTTCAGAGTTACCCACAACACTTGAAGAGCCAGATAATTAATGACATCCTCATAACGGACAATGGGCAGCTCACAACCACTTTGCTCTCAGTGAGACTGTCGCAGCCAATAGAATCCAGTTCCTGGACAGAATGGGGCACAGCCCAGCCCACACTCACTTTTCACACTTGCCCTGCAGCAAGAAGTAGCCGCTGAGGCAGGTCTCGCATTTGTCCCCCACGCTGTTGTTCTGGCAGTTGACACACACGGCACTGACCTCCGTGGGGCCCTCCATTACCCACTGTGTGATCTGCAGGGAAACAGTGGACAGGGGTACTGTCAGGAAAAAGGGGGAGAGACGGAACGGTGTACGAGGTGGAGGGAGCTGGGGAAGGGAGGAAATCTGCCCCCCATCTAGATGGCGCTCTCTCTACACCACCATAGTCCTCATGGGGGTCTGACTAGATCTCGTCTTCTGCCAGGTTCTTACAATGTTTAGTATTGTATAACAGTGGTGAGTACTAAGGGCAGCACAGTGGCTAGCACTGCTGCCTCACACCTCTGGGTCTTGGGTTTGAGTCTCTGCCATGGCTCCATGTGTGTGGAGGTTCTCCCCCTGTCATTATGGGGTTTCCTCCGGGTACCCTGGTTTGCCCCCACAGTCCAAAGACTTGCTGAGGCTAATTGGAGTCACCAAATTGCCCATAGGTGTGCATGTGACTGGTGTGTGAGTGTGCCCTGTGATGGGTTAGTGTCCCATCCCGGGTTGTTCTCTGCCTTTTGCCCATACCCTCCAGGACAGGCTCCAGACAACATGAATAGAACAAGCTGTTATAGAAAATAGATGGATGTTTAGCATTGTATAGTGCTGTACAATCCTTGCTCCCATAGTACTTTGCACAGTAACTTTTGTCACTGGACAATCAGCCTGGCTGTAGTTAGTAGTTAGCTCCTTGAAAGCTGCATGACTGTGGTGCACTGCGCACAAAGCATCTGCTAAAAAAATACATTAAACTATAATGTATATACTATATAATATAGTGTAAGACTCATAGAGCAGATGAGAGAGACCACTTAAGGTATTTTTGAACATGTTGCACGGAAGCATAAAGATTGGGGGGGGGGGGGTGACACGGAGGCTGCTGGGCCGAGCTGCCTACACTCTCAGGGTCCAACGGGAACTCTCTGGGATGCTCCAGCGCCTGCTTGTGCTCCTCCCGGGATAGGCACACAGCACTGTTGCCCTGGCAGAACTTCCGGCAGGGCTGGCACATGCCACCTCCCAAAGCTGAGCCCACAAACAGCGGCTTGCATTTCTCACAGTGCTGGCCCTGGGGGGAGGGGATACATGTGGAGTGGGATCATGTCAGCAGAATACTTCAGACCGCATGTGTGATGTCAGCCGGGCTCAGCCTGAAGGGGGTGGGGCGTGCTCACCATGGTGTTGTTGTGGCACTCCAGACAGACATCGGGCTGGGTCAGGCTGGCGCAGTCACTGTGCTTATTGCAGCGGCACTGCGCCGAGCAGCTGTCTCCGACGAAGCCGAAATGGCAGCGGCACACGCCCGGTGACACACAGGTGCCGTTCACGCAACCCTGGCTGCACACGGGCTCGCACTGGCCCGACACGCTGTGGGGAGAGCACAGAGTCACTAACCCTAACCCAGCCCGCACAAATGGTTGCACTGGTCCGACACACTGAGGGAGAGCGCAGTGTTATTAACCCTAACTGTAACCCCAACACTGATACTTGCACTAACCCTAAAACATGAGGGAGGGTTGTACCTGCTGAGCACGTAGCCCTGCCTGCAGGTGCAGTTGTAGCCCTGCGGCTGGTCGTGGCAGTCCTGCGTGCTGTTGCAGTGGTGGTGCCCGTTGGCGCACTCATCCTCCTCTGGGCAGTGCAGAAAGGACCAGCTGCTGTTCCACTGTGGGCAGACGTCCTCACTCACACCTGAGGGAAGCAGGGAGAGAGACAGGGAGGGAGGGTCACGCTGGGTTTCCTCAGGTAAACTGACCAGTGTATGCCTGCATGCCTGAGTCTGAGTGCCCGGCCACGGCCCCCCAACCTCGTTACGGACGCATGTCTGGATGGGGCCAGGCTCACCAAGTATGTGGGTGGATATGCGGGGATAGGTGCCTGGTGCTGTAGCCTCACACCTCTATGGCCAAGAGTTCGAATCTCAGTTGTATGTGTGTGGAGTCTGCATATTTTCCCCCTGCTGTACAGGTCGCCACTGGATAATCGGGCTCCCCCCCCCCCCCATAGTTAGTGAAAACACTGTGAGGTGAACTGGTCACTGTGTGCCCTGTGATGGACTAACATCCCATCTGGGGAGTCCCCAGCCGTGTGCTTCCTGGGACAGGATTCAAGTTTGCTGAAACCCTGAACCGGATAAACTGCTGGAAGAAGGATGGAAAAGAACAATTGCTACAGTTTGAAAAACCCATCACTGTCAGCGTCTGTGGCTTATTAAAGAGTCCAATGGAGTGTCAATTATCTGGAACACAAAGGTTAATCTGTACAGCAAGAACAGATTTCTCAGCCAACATTCTTTGACTCTGAAGGAGAAGAAAGACTAAAGTGGTTCAATGCTTGTGATAATTAGTTCAATTGAGTGCTTCGGAGGCTTTGCCAGACTTTTTGCCATTTTGCACCTCTCTGCTTACACAGAGTGATGACTGACCCCTTCGTGATCCAATCAACTTGCACACTATGCAGTGATCACTCCCGTCTCATACTCACCCTCCAGGCCACCATGCAAGCAGCGCCCAGCCCCGTTGCCCCCACGGGTGGCACACCAGCCGCACTGGGGCCTGGCGATGCACTGGGAGCACTGGGTGAGCTGCGAGCACTGGGGTGAGCAGGAGTCACCCCTGGTGAGCAAACGGCCACACTGTCCAGCCTCGCAGCGGAGTGGGACAAAGGACGGGCTCATGCACTGAGAACGGACGACAGAAAAGGGGGGGGGACAAGAGAAAACCGAGAGACATTATAATACGGAGTCATGACTAATGAGGCCGCCGCTGCTGAGAAACACACATTAAGCATGTGTGAGTCAGTGATCAGTCAGCAACACAGCTGCTGCCCCTGCCCCCCCCACCACGAAAAATCAGAGCAATGTCCCCACCCCTGCACTCTCCCACAATGAGTCAGAGCAACCCCTCCACCCCCCTCCGAGTCAGAGCCACGCACCCTGCCCCCTGCCTCCTCACCTGCTGTAGGGCCACGCTCCACACGCATTGCTGCCAGCCGCCGTCGGAGCCCCGTGAGCCCAGGCAGAGGCTGCACGTGCCCAGGTGGTGGCATGGAGGAGGGCAGGGCAGTGGCGGTGATGACTCCACCTGCATGGGAGACACGTTGAGCAGGGCATAGCTGAAGCAGGTCCAGTCGTAGGTGGGGTTTACGCTGAGGATGCGGCGAGTCTCGCCTGGAGGGGGGCACAAAGAAAAAAAAACACACAGTAAGGCAATTCATCTCAGGGCTTGGACTGTTTCAAACAAAGTTACTTATTTAAGTAGCATTCTATACATAGATATCAGAAACAAAAAACAAAACAAAAACAATGAAACACAAAACAACAAACAAAACAAAATGGATCACTGTGGAAGCACACTCCAATCCACACCAGCCCATCTAGTTCTAGTCTATAGCATGTGCTTATTTCAGACCCCAGGGTCAGGCTCACCCACCCCCCCACTCACCTGTGCGCTTGAACTGCCGAGTCCACATGCACTTGCCCGAGGCAGTGCATTTGGGGCAGTCGGACGCCTCGCAGCTAGTCTCCGTGCAGTTGCTGGACAGAAAGATCTCCCGTTGGTTGATGCGGCAGTCGTGCTCGGAGGTGCAGCTGACGGAGCTGTTGATGCAGGCTCCCTCCGGGCAGTTTGTGCACCACTTGCACTGGAGCGCCAGCTGGGGGTGTCAGGTGTCAGAAAATGGGCACACATGGCTCCACACCACCATGTTGCATGGCCAACCACCATCCAAAAGCACTTCTCTAAGACTGCCCAGAAAGGGCTTCTCTCACTAAACACGAGAGATCAATCACACAACATGAACACATAGAAGTCAGCAGTTGCAACAGACTGGCATCCCCCTCCAGGGAGGCCCTTGTGTCACACACAGTAGGCTCACTGTTTTCCCTACATAAGCAGCTGGAAGATGGATGGATGGATTAATGGAAGCAGCAGCCAAAGACAGATGGCTTTACAGAAAGGGCATGTATATCAAAGTGAACAGCATCAACAGCCCCTGGCCTCACAGTCCTCATCAGGAAACCTTGGCCAGGAGCGTCATACCGCAATAGAACTCGCCCTGGCTGGCAGAGACCGCCATCCTTGAGGCCTGCTCAGATCACAACAGAATTCACCCCAGCCTGCAGACAGCACCATCCATGAGGTTTGGTCACATTGCGACAGGACTCGACCCAGCCTGCAGAGAGCGCTGTCCTCAAGGCTGGCTCACACCATGACAGGACTCGCCCTGACCTGCAGAGAGCGCTGTCCTCAAGGCCTGCTCATACAGATTTTTAAGTTTCCATTTCTGAAACATCTTGACTTTGTTTACATTAAATTTTTTCATTTGTAAACTGTAAAAATCGGACTAAGTAACAAGTACGTCAGTTACAAAAGAATGCAAACAGCATTTAAATGCAAAATTACTTTTCCAGGGAAAGATACAAATTTCCAACACACGGTCATGCTAAGCGACAGGTGTGACAACTCGCATGATATTAATACCATGACATGTCAGTCCACATGATATAAGAGTACATGTCCCTACTGATACGTCAATAAAACATTTTTCTTAAAACGATTTCTTCAAAGTTACGTCATAACCCAATATTCTGAGAAACATGAGAGACTACCTTCACATAAGAATCACATTACTAGGTGATAAACAGAAGTATACATCAACTAGAGCTGGGCGATATGGCAAAAAAAATTATCACGATATTTTTTCCTGTATTGACCGATATCGATTATCATCAATATTATAGTTTCACAATGCTGTTCCATGTAATAATGTAATAATCAAAATAATAATAAAAATAACCCTATTCTGACAAATAGAATGAATACTAATAACAAATAAACAATATTAGCAAACAAATATTTATTTTCCAACAAATTTTACTGTTTACATACAAAATTCCTTTAAAATTATAAAAGGTTATTGATTTTCAAGTACTCAAAGAAACATAGCTCAAATGAACAAAACCATAATAATGTAACAATGTGCAAAACTATAATATTGCAAATATGTTAAAGAGCAAACATAAAATAAAGCAGGACAGAACTGACTGCAACAAGTATCTTCCTCTATTCTTGGTCTCTTAAAAACTCTTTAAAATTCTGAGGTAGAAAAGTATCTAAACCAAGCAAAAAACACTTATTCAAAAAAATGCCAAATCATGGTTAGATTCTTTTGGTCCGGTGCTGCAAAATGTCACCACGCGTCACCGTGTCATATGGTACAAAATCCTTGCGAGAGCAAGACGACTTGAGACAGACTGTGCAGCACAAACTTGAACCGCCTCCGTGACGACACAACTTTGCCCTTATTGGCTGAAGATTTTAGTCACATGCATGACGTTTATATCCCAGGAAATTCTAATGCGTTATCTGCTGTTTCTCCCGAAAAGCACGTAAAGCAGTGAGAACTGGTTTTCAGTTAATTTACCTGGTAAAATAAAGTTGAAATAAATTACATATGCTCAAACAGTACACGTAAGTTAGTGATTTATTTATTGTTAGTTACTGTAAGGTTGCGCTGCTTTATTTGTTTAAATCGTCCAGTCTGTGAAGAAGGCAATCAAGTAAGAATTGCATTGTACTCTGTACATGACAATAAAAACTTTGAATCCTTGAAATACATGTATTTGATCTTTTTCCTAGCAGCTATCTTTTTACACAGAGCCACTATACACAATAGTTTTATTTACTGCTAACAGTTTGTATCAGGAGTTGGTTATTGTAAAAGAAGTAATGTGCATGCAGGTGATATTTGTATAGATTTATCTACACCCTTCTGGCAGTGCTGCCATTGCAGTCAGGTCTCGCACACTACGAGGAGTAGAAGTTGTCCGACTTGGCTGCAGTCAGTTTATACTCCACCCCTGCAGCCGCCGGCAGGTCGCGCTCCATGTCGCATCAGCTGCAGACAGACTTAAGCTCAAGTCGAACGCACCCATTGCTTCTTTAAGGAAGGATGGGCAAAATTACAACGTCGTCGGTGATTGCCTGTTGTGCTGGCGTTCAGTAAACCTCTGCTCATTAGGCCATTGAGTTGTCTGTCTCAGCGCATTCTCTAAAACGGAGCAAACTTGGTTGATGGAGTCTTATAGTCTGTGTGTATCATCGTGATCGTCCTCATTTTTTTTCGATTAAAAATCGAGATCGTTTTAATCGCCCAGCACTAACCTGAACAAAACTAAACAAAATAGAATTTGAAGAAACTGAGGCAAAATCTCGACAGGGACAATTCTGAGACGACAAAATACGCAGAGAAAGGACCAGCTCTCCTAGGCCAGGTTTGTGTAAGATCAACAGGGTAACACCAAACAGAACACCAGCATCACGAAAGAGGAGGAAAAATCCACATTCTGTTCTTCATTAACGTCTTCATCCCATTCATCCTCAGTGCCAGCTAAGCCACTGCAGGGAGGCCTATCGCACAAGGCAGGGTACAGCCTGGACATCATGCTAGGCCGAGGACCACATACACGCAAGGCAATTTCGAGATGTCAGTTCTCCTAAAGCATATCTTTAGAACGTAGGAGAAAACCAGGGCATCTGGGGCTAAGCCAGAGAAGCATGTGAAACGCGGACACAGCTGGGTGCTGGAACTGGCCCACAGCCCTGAAGGTGTTAGATTAGGATGCCACCCACTGAACCACCATCTTTCATCAGCTTTACTTCCCAATACCTTTGGTACAGTACGTTTAATGCAACACTAATGGTCATTATGCTCATAATCACATATCAAGCCAAGAAGAGAGAACAAGAGAGGAAACGGTCAGCATTAGCCATCTCCACTACCTGTGCGGAGTTGGAGAAGGTCTTCGGGTGCCGAGCCAGGCACTCGCTGCAGGTCTTCAACCGGCGGCATTGATCAGGCAGGCGAGGCGTTGGGGAACACGGAGAATGAATGTTCTCGCAGCCCAGCCTAAGGTGGACAGGGAAGATCGCTGAGGTACACACCCTTTAGGAGACCACTATTACCTTGTTTCCACTAATACGGAGCTGGTGCCAGGCTGGTTGCCTACGTGCAGAGACAATGAGCTTTGCTTATCACTGAAGAGGTCTTCTTCGCAACCTCTCATTCCCCAACTGCAAACTGGCACACCACAGCTTGGCGGTCCTTCAGAGAGTTATCGGTCGACAGGGGCTCAGAGTAGCTAGCCTAGCTGCAAGGTAAGCCCCGGGTGCTATTGGATTGAGCTTCTGTTGGCGAAGCTACATGTTCTGCCTGACAGATGCTGGCCTTGGATGATGAGACTCTGTGTGACTTGCCTTTCTGACTACAGGACTGCTTGCTAGTGCATTTCTGGCATGCAGCTAGGTGAGGGTTAGCAGTTCATCACTGCAGCTAACTTAGCTTTGCTGTACTGGTGCCAATCACTACACCAGTCAATCCTTATAAGAACATAAGAACTATACAAACAAGAGGAGGCCATTCGGCCCATCGAGCTCGCTTGGGGAGAACTTAACTAATAGCTCAGAATTGTTAAAATCTTATCCAGCTCTGATTTAAAGGAACCCAAGGATTCAGCTTGCACTATGTTATCAGGAAGACTATTCCATACTCTGACTACACGCTGTGTAAAGAAGTGCTTCCTTAAATCCAGTTTGAAATGTTCTCCCGCTAATTTCCACCTATGGCCACTTATGTATAACAAGAGTAGCGGGGCTGGTTTGAACGTCATTTAAAAGCAGAAGGGCTATGCCTGGGCCACCAGGGAACACTGCTGAGACTTCCCAACATATAGTCTGATACCCCCTCCCCCATCTCCTCCATCTGCCCCCCATCTCTCCCCTGCTGGTTTTACTGTGAGTGTGGCATAGCATCACATGCTGTGTGGCAGTACTTTCACAGCCTGCACTGACACAAATAGGAAGGAAAGTTCTGGAATTGTGGACCAATCACAAAGGCATGGCAAAAGTGTGACAGGAAGTGACACCCTGGAGGGTACACGACTTCATGTATACCCAGTTACGCGACTCACACAGCACAATGCCGCCATTAGATGAATCTGAAGAGCGATTTTTCTGAAATTCCATGTTCATGTCACTCTAAGGGGCCTAAATGACCTTGCAGGGCCCCGTACCTCTCGGCTGTGTCGGAGGAGGTGCAGCTGCCCCTGAACCACACACAGCTCCCTGTGGTGGCGTTGCAGGCCTCGGAGGTGGGAAGCAGGCCGCAGGGGTCAGCAGGCACGGACAGTGTCAGCAGGCGCCCCAGTGTCACTCCGTTGAAGCCACCAGACAGGAAGAGGTGGCCCTCCCACGCCACCATCGCCAGAGACACCGACTTGTTGACAGGCTCCCCAACTGCCAAGACTAAGAGGTGGGGGGAAGGAGTAGGCTGGACTCAACTGGTGAAGTCAGGGCCATCATGTGACCTAGGCTATCACATGACCAGGGCCATCACAGGACTGCTCTACACCAAAGCCCACGCCAGCTTAGGGGACACTCACCTGGTTGTATCCAGGTATTGCAGTTGATCTGGTAGAGAGAGACACTGTTGCTATAATCCTCTTCTCCTGTCCTGCCTCCCACCACCACCATGGTGTCCTTCAGCAGGGCAGCCGCATGGAAAAACCGCGACAAGGGCTAGAGAAAGCCAGACAGACGTCTTAGCCCTGCCCTGCGCCACCTTCCAGACCCGTTTGTTGCAGACAGCACCATCCCTGTGGCAGTACCTTGTTGCCCTGGGAAGGGACCAGGAGGGACCAGGTGAGGTTGGGGTAGTAGAGGCTGTACAGCTCCCCTGAGGGCTCCACCGATTCCACGTGAAAGCGGTAGCCGCCAAAGACGTACACGGCGTCCGTCTGCTCATGGTAGACCGCCGAATGTCCATACAGTCCTGAAGAGGACAAGACAAAGGTCAGATGGTCGGCCATGACATTCAAAGGACTACTGCTCCCCCATAGCTCACCTGTAGGGGGCGTCCCAGCATGTGCTGCAACAGTCCAGTTCCCACTGTCCAGGCTGAATTCCAGAAGTTGATGGTTGAAGCCATTCTCTGGAGAGTATCCGCCAATAAGGAGGGCCGTCGTGCTACGACGCATCGTGAGGGTGTGTCCAGCCACAGGGGGCAGTGTTGAGCTCTACAGGAAAGTGCAAGGAAAGGAAGGAAATCAAGCCGATACACACAAAGCCAAACACCAACAAACTTCAAGGATATTTGCTCCTCACCTTAAACTCCTTCCACACAAGACTGCTAAGATTGAGGGCCCAAGTGTCCATGGCAACGCCCTTCTGTGTGACCCCGCCCACCACCAGCATGACCCCGTGCATAACTCCCTGGGTGCCAGCTAGAGATTCCTGGCTGGTTAGGAGGGCAGAGGCGTGGTGATAGCGGGGGCTGGGAGCCGACCCGTCTTCCACAATGCTAGTCAGCATTTGTGTCCATCGACGCTCGGATACAGAGTACCTGTGAAAATAAGTCATAATGAAGACTTCTAAAAGCCATGATTACTGCCGAGTTTGTGTTATTGATGGCAGAGACCACCGGCTACGGCTAGTGATGCTATGTTAACCGGCTCCAATATAGTGTATTCCATCATTCAGACCCAAAATACTATCTTCTCCATTCCTATAAGTCACAAGTTCACAGGGCCGTTTTCCATGGAGGTGGTACAGTGTTAAAAGGAGACTATATTCATAAGCGCGAAGCCCCTCCAGTCAAAGAAACAATAAACAAATAAGAATATTAAGTGAGCAAAGCTGTTCACACCTGTAGACATTTCCTAGCATTCCCTCCGTGAGTGAAAGACCCCCATACATCCAGAGGGTCCCCTGAGGGCCCGGGACCATAGAATGACCCATCCTCTGCAGGAACCTGTGAGCCTGGTTCTGAGAGAGTAAGACAGAGAGAACATAAGAGGGCAGGGGCACCACCGCGAGTGAGGAACCACGGTCGCCCATCTTACCGCCATCATCTGAGTATCCAGCAGATTGTCCCACAACAGGCTGTTGACGCCCGCGGGGGAGGCACAGTCAGGGCCGGCCCAGCCCTCCGAACATTGGCAGATTCCAAGAGCCTGCAAATGGGTGGGGGTGGGGGTTGAACAGCGTCAGGACACGTGCCTGGCGGGATACCTATCACTTAGGCCGGAAACCAGCATTTCGCTACTAAAGACGTGAACCATGTCTGAGGTATAGATATACAGTGAGGAGTGTAAATCAGGGCTCCTAGCTGTGCAGTAGGGTGAGGTGAAAAATATTAAAATTTCCAACAGCAATTTCCAATAGTGCGGAAAAGTTGTCACTAGACCTCGTTATTAAACGTGCGAAATATCTTTGAAATAGGTTAATATTTTCAGGTTCCGCAACACGATCGAAGTTTTCACCTGTCACATCAATGGGCAATATACACTATCCATTATCTATACTCATCGGTGTTGTGTTTCTGCACTTTCACAACATGATAATCACTATAAAATACCAACGTTCAGGTAACGCAGATTTTTACTGGGTATCAGCCATACACATACATTACATTGCTCTGCGGCTCTACGTGCATTACGTTTAATCACCTTACATATTTTTTTGTAATGTTGTTCCTGTATTGCCATTTTATTGTTTTTTACTATGTGACGTTTTAGTTTGCTATTGTACTGTGTTTTGAGATCTACAGAAGTTACTTGTGCATGTGAGTGCTTTCTCTTGCCGGTGAACTTTACATACTGGAATGCAGAACCTTGCAGTGTTGAAACTGGTGTGTTTGAAATGAATGTTTTGGTATTCATCGGTGTTGTGTTTGTGCACTTTCACAACATGATAATCACTACAAAATACCAACGTTTAGGTAACGCAGATTTTTACTGGGTATCAGCCATACACATACACTACACCACTCTGCCGCTCTACGTGCATTATGACTAATCACCTGTCACATCAATGCGCAGATCCACGCAATGTATCATCCATATCATAACGCAATGTAAAATTGTTCCTCAGTGACACCAAAATGAAAAGTATTAAGCATGACAGTCAAAATGGTCAGATACACTACATTACCAAAAATATTGGGACACCTGAATTCAATAATTTGGAGGGGTGTCCCAATATTTTTGGTAAGACCCAGATGAATAAAGCGGTATAGATAATGGATAGTGTATATTGCCAGTATGTCAGTGTAAGCATGCTCCTGAGCGCCACATTTCTGAATGAGTCGTTTCCCACTTACTCATTGTCACTGACCGATTGTTAGGTTCTTGTATTAAATTGGAACAATTGTACATTGCGTTATGATATGGATGATACGTAGCGTGGATCTGCGCATTGATGTGACAGGTGAAAACTTCGATCGCGTTGCAGAACCTGAAAATATTAACCTATTTCAAAGATATTTTGCACGTTTAATAACGAGGTACAGTGACAACTTTTCGGCAGTATTGGAAATTGCTATTGGAAATTTTGAATTTTTCACCCCACCCTACTGTGCAGGCAGCTTAACTGTTATCCTACGTGACGCCAAAGCATGCATTCAAATCAGACCATTATCTTAATAGCAACGCTTTAAGGCAGACCGTACAGGAGTGGAAGGTACAGTACAAGGGGTACAGGCATGGGTACGGGCACAGGGGGTACAGTAGAGAAACTCCAGGGCAGGTGCAGCAGATCCAGATGTTTCTCACAGTTCATTCTCAGGCCTTCATCTTTTACTTGATGACCTCTGGCCCTCCTTGCTAACAAACCCGTTTCATCATGGGCTGCTCTCCATTACAGCCTGCTTCAGGTCTTCCCACATCCCTGCTAGCTCAACATTCACACTTTAGCATTTTTTAATGTAAAGATTTGTTGGACTGTTGATGCAGTGTGTGGCCCAGTGGGCTAAGCCTCCGTGCCTGTGATCAGAAGGTCGCCGGTTCAAGTCCAGCCTCAGCAGAATAGTCACATCTGCGGGCCCTTGAGTAAGCTCAAAGTTGCTGTGGCCACCAAGCTTGCTGTATGGAGAGCAAGATGGGGAAAAGCAAAAAAAGAATTTCCCCACAGCGATTTATGAACTGTCACTATTCTTTTCTATTCATTCTTATGAGTGAAGGAGGCACTAATTTTCCCCCAGCAAAATAGTAAAACTTCCACATCCCTAACACTGCTTTCCTTGGTGAGAGTGAGCTGTCAGAGCTCAGAGCTTACAGTGCACATCTGAGTCCCTCCAATCGTAGGGTGTCTTACAATGCAGAATCTCTCCAATCATAGGCCGTCTTACAATGCACTGCTGACTTCATAACCAATTTCCAGGGATCTATAACCCTTTCTGGCCACTCCTGCTTCCCGAGGCTCTCTGAATGCTCCTTCGATCGCAGCCTGGAATGTTACTTTGCAGGTTTCTCACCTTGAATGTAGGGTTAGGGCCACCCTACATTCATCACGGCCTACGGCTCATTGATGGGGTAACCCAGCACCACATTATTTACAACCTCAATTACTTGCCTCAATGACAGCTCATGCACGCTGTGGTCTCTATGTTGAATGCATGCTTTTGCATGGATTCCCATTAGTTTCAGTTCCAGAGGAACTGATCTGCCAAAAAGGGCTCTCAGTTCGACCATTAACCGTGGATTAGCGCAGCACACCGAGGGCTCACTCACAGTGACACACATTCCCCGGCCCTCCTTGGATCCACAGTCTGCTGGGCACAGGAGCCTGTCGCAGTGCGGCCCTCCGTAGCCCTTGGCACAGTGGCACAGGCCTTCCCGGCACTCCGCTCTGCCCTGGCAGGGGGTGTTGTCCTCCAACAGCCCCTCCTGGCATCGTTGTACCCAAAAGGAGGCGTTGAAGCCCTGGGGCGGCCCGGAGGAGACGTTGGCCTCGAAGTACACAGAAATCACCCCTAGAGGGGAAATTGGTGGCTCAGCCCAGGGGGACTGGGAGAAAACGATCCAGCAAAAAGGCACTCCAGGAGAACAGGAGGGGGAGCTTCACAAAAGGAAAACTTCAGATGAATCGAATGTTCTTAGGGTATAAATTCAGCCCTACTCTTAGAAAGGGAGAGAGAGAAAGAGAGAGAGCATAGTGATGACCTGATGTTGCCTCTACGGTGACAGGCATCGTGCGAGTGGTCCCGCAGAATGCTCCAATCAGGTTGTGGTCAGACTGCACTACCCCGTTGCCAAGGAATCTGGGGAGGCCATCGAAAACGTACACGTAGGAGCTCTGTGAACGAGACAAGACAGTCATGTGACTTCAGCCAGGGTAACTTCTCTGCAGTGTAATGAGAGGGTTTCTATGTGCACTGTAGGAGGGCTTAAACCCCAGTCCGCAGCCAGCATTCCACCAGAGCGAGGAATGCTGGGGGTTTTGCAGAGGGAATACTTAATTTCCAAAAATATTTTTCAGTTTAGTACGACCCCTCACGTCCATGTCACTCACAGGGCACGGTGTGCGGGAGTCTGGGTGCAGCATGAGTGACACAGGCGGACACTGCTTCCCCGGGAGGCAAGGTGACAGGTCCTTGGATACGGAGAGCACCCAGAGGCAGTGGGACAGCCCGCCCTGCGCACCGGCGCCCCCGCGCCAGCCCAGCGAGGCCGACAGCAGCGGGCTTTGCGAGGAGGGTGAGGACAACAGCACTGAGCGGCCCTGGCACTGGCGGAAACACGTGCCATTGTTCCTGAAGGAGGGTGAGGGCCATTTTGGGAAGAGACAGCAAAACAGAGCGGGAGCATGACTCGGACACGCTGAGTCAAGGTCAAATCCCTCGCCCATGTGACACAGACGACAACAAACACACAAGTTGCAGTGGGCAGTAGGTGGCGCCGCTGCTCACCGTGGGTCCCCATAGAAACCTGGAAGACAGCTCTCGCACTGTGGGCCCTGGGTGTTGTGGGTGCAGTAGCACAGCCCCGTCTGGTTGTGGCAGTAGCCCCGCAGGGGGTCACCATGCCCGTTGCACTGGCAGGGCACACAACCCTCGCCCCCCGCCAGGGCTGAGCCAAAGCTTCCTGGCCGGCACTGTTCACACTGCAGGCCTGAAGTCCAGTCTGTGGGGGGGGGGGGGCAACATGTAAACATGGAGAAGGGTAATATAAAAAGGAGAGCGCCCCTGACACACACACACACACACACACACACACACACAAACTGACCCTGACACTGGTCACAGATGCCCGGCGCTGTGACGCAGGTGCTGTGGAAGTTGCAGCCACAATCCACATCGCACTCGACGCCGCTGAGCACTAGGGTGGAGGGGTCCGAGGTCCAGCCCAGGGCGCACTCACACTCGAACCGCGGACTGCCACTGCACCTGCCTTCCCGACACTCGTTGAAACAGCTGTCGCCAGAGACGGTGAATTTATTAACGCCCCCCATGGGGGTTTCAATTTAAGGGAAGCACAGTGAGCGAAGACCACCTCGGGCCCGCTGTACAGAGCATAGAATACAGGGATTCAAAACATGCTGTTAGTGAGCGCGCCATGTACCAGTCGGCGAGGGATGACTCACGTCTGGTTGCAGTGCAGCACGCCGTCGCCAGTGTAACCCCTCTCGCAGTGGCACTCGTATGCCGTGGCCGTGTTCACACAGGTGGCAAAGGGGTGGCAGCGGTGCAGGCCCAGCCGACACTCCTCCACATCTGGGCACGAGGGGTATGACCAAACCGCTTCCTTATGGCCTTCCAGGAGGCCCTCCAGGTGCTCCAGCTCCAGCTCCATCTCGGTGATGCGCGGGGGGGACGAGGTCTGTGGTTCAGGGCTGGAGGGGGAACACAGGGCAGTGCTATTGCCACAGGGCTGAGATACGGGCAAGTGCGGGGCACAATCAAGACGGGCAGCAAATCATACCGCGCAGCCTTCACTTCTGCTACAGCGATACTGCAGTTAAAGGCGGAGTCATCGGCAAGCCCCGCCCAGTCGCCCCGCAGACACCTGGGTAAGAGAAAACAGCGGGTCAAGGGGGGGAAGGAAGAATAAGAAGAAACTGGGGGTGGAGGGGGGTGTAGAACGTCTTTGAAGCACAAACAGGCACAGCAGAAGCAGGGGGGCCTGACCTGCCGATGGTGGGATTGTCGTAATCCCCGCACCAGCCACACTGGAAGGTCTGCAGGCACTCGGTGCAGGTGGACAAGGCCGGGCACTGCTTACACTGTGGAGTGGAGTGTACGCTGATGGGGGAGGGGGTCGTGATGTTACAATGGGTCACAGTCCCAGAAATCAGAACATGGTTACGTGCCTCACAAACTACTTTATGGTTGAATTTATGGTTCAACTGGATTCCAGAGAAAAGATAATGAGATTAAGGCAGAGACTGGGGAGCAGCCGATGCCTACCTGTCGTACCAGTCTCGGCACTCCCCGTATGGGTATTTGGTGAGGTAGGCAGCGAAGTAGAAGCAGACCTGGGCAGACTCGCACCAGGCACACTGGCTGGCGTTGGACAGGCATTCTCCGCACGTCCTCCTTCTAGGGGGTGGTAAAGGGAACAGGTACTACCACCATTTAACAGGGTGTCTACAGAAATCCCCATGTGAAATTTCAGCCATTTTAAGACCTTTGTAATGCGACTTCAAGTCAAATATAAGACGAATCTAAATGTGAAAACGTGTTTTACCAGAATCAATACCCATGCAATTAAACGGCAAAACTTCACTCAAAACAGAGGGACAAAGGACTCAGATTAAGGCCCAATCCCAATTCTATTTTCTACCCCTTTGCCTACCCCTCACCCCTTCCCCTTGCCCCTTGAAATGAAGTGGAAAGGGGTAGGGTTAAAAAATTTCCCCTAAGAAATGGGACACCACTACTACACTGTTATACGTCATCATCCATTGTCACTACCTCCTAACGTTACGTCAGAGGACATGCACCGATGTTTATCACAAATTCCAAGATGTCGCCGTCAGCATCGTAGCATGTAAAGATTACTCACTCCCGAAGTTTTTTTGCGCCGTATTTGGACTTTAAAAACATATGTTCGTTTTCACCTCGAAAACGTATAAGCCTTCGGGTTTCCTCAGCTGTCTCTATACAGAATATAATTTACAAAAATGTTGTCATGTTGCAATAAGTACGAATAGTGTAAGCACCGTTCATTTACATGTACACATATGGCCGTAAGCAAAACAAAACAACGCGTTACAACATGCAGTCAGTTACCGGGTAACGTTATATGACATAAAAATATATTTCCTAATATTGTGCAATCAGTGCTATCCGCAAGCAAACTTTAGCGATTTTTTTTCAAACGTTTCTTTACAGAACATCACCGTAAACACAAACACAAGATTGATGGTAATATACATGTAATGAAAAAATGTCATAAAAATCCTTATTAATGGCAAAAATTACTTAACATTTATGGGTCTGCTTGCTCGAGTGGGCAGCCATGTTATAAATTTCTCTTAGCCCTTCGTTTGAAGTGAGGTCCCGAAAAATCTTCGTTTCGAGGGCTATCTAGCCCTTCCCCTTACCCCTACCCCTCCAATCAAAAGAGAATTGAGACACCCCTACCCCTACACGTGAACGCGCCAAACGGAGGGGTAGGGGTAAGTGTAGGGGTAAGGGGTAGAATTGGGATTGGGCCTAAGACATTCAATGCCCCATTCTACAGCAATACAAGCATATAAAGAGGCAGATTTAACAGATTCTTGAATATTTTAAATGACACTTTGTCATGGATTGCTGGTTCGAACACAATGCCGCAGACAAGCTACCTGTTAGCAGATAGTTGCCACAGCCCAAGCTACTTTTAGCACCAGTCGTTGAACTGCATGTTATCAAAACTAAAGGGTATACAATAAAGCGAGATTAAGACATGGACCCTTCAAAACCCATTCAATATTCCTTTATCCATTAGACTAACCCTGCACAACATGCGGCCCGTTAAGGCTTTCCTTGCGGCCCTTGTAACCAGAACCGAAAATATGGGGTTATTGGAGAAATGTGTACCCCGGATATTTTAAGGTGGGAAAAGAATGGGCAGCTATACTTGTCAGTTCTTTCAACAGCATCTCTTCAGTTGAGCATGTAGCTGTGACTCGGTTTCTGGTCTTTCATGAGCGTACTGTGTTTGTGCTGGTGTCACAAACTTGCGAAATACGGATTTAATCAACATAATTTCACGTGATTAAATGAAGAAGGGCTAGTGATGAGTGGCAATAGTCGGAAACAAAAAATTAATTTGGAGCACAAAGTTTTTAAATCGGGAGTGGACACAAAAGTACTTTTTCATGTCATACAATGGTAAAATACTCTGTCTGGTTTGCCAAGAATCAATTGCGGTTCCAAAGGAATATAATGTCCAGTGACACTTTGAAACAAAGCATAGTGAGCTGACAAACTTGGACGAAAATGAGATGAAAATTAAGGCGTCAAACTTCCTGAAAACTTTGAATGGGCAACAACCACTTTTCAAGAAAGCAAAGACAGTGAGGTTGCTACGAAAGCCAGCTTTTTAATTTCCAAGGAAATTGCTGCAGCTGGGAAGTCCTTTACGGAAGGGGACTTTATTAAAAAATGCGTGATGATCGCTGCATCTGAATTGTGTCCAGAGAAGAAATGTGCCTTTGAGAATGTGAGTTTTGTCCTGGATGACTGTGCAACGAAGAGTGACATCTCCAACAACCTTCAGGACCAGTTAATTGAGAAAGCTACGCAATTCAAGTACTACTCGTTGGCCACGGACGAGAGCACAGACATAAATGATACTGCACAACTCTTAAGTGGAAATTAGCGGGAGAACATTTTAAAACAAAATTTGAGGAAGCACTTCCTTACACAGCGTGTAGTTAGAGTATGGAATAGTCTTCCTGCTAGTGTGGCAGAAGCTAAAACCCTGGGTTCCTTTAAATCAGAGCTAGATAAGATTTTAACAACTCTGAGCTATTAGTTAAGTTCTCCCCAAACGAGCTTGATGGGCCGAATGGCCCCCTCTCGTTTGTAAATTTCTTATGTTCTTAATCTTCATTCGTGGTATCGACGATAACTTTGAAATTACTGAAGAATTAGCAGGGTTGTGTTCAATGCAAGAACGAACCACCGGGAAAGATATCTCAAGTGAAGTGAAGCACTGTATCACGCAAAAATTAGGCATAACTTTTCAAACATAGTGGCAATTTGCACAGATGTCAATGTGTGGGAACAGGATTGGTGCAGTGGCATTGTTTGAACAATTTGTTGGGAAAAATTGTCCATCAACAAGTCTTATGCAGCAAAGTACTGAAGTACGATCATGTCATGTCAGTTGTTATGACTGGACCGACCGGACCAGACTCGACCGACCGACCGACATACGACCACAGCTGATCTGATAACCAAGATGGCTGCTAAGTAAGGCATGACAGTGTGAGACTTCATCACCAACTCAAAATGTGAATGTTTATGACCAAAGAAATTAAGACCTACTAAACTTAAACTGAAGACTTCATAAGACTTTTCATGGCCTTAATTATTTCAACTCAAATTTCAGACATTTTATGACATTTTAATGGCCCCTGGACACCCGCTTCAGAGGGGACAGGTGGGACTTTCCATCTGGCCAGCAGATCGAGACACAGGCAGCAATGGGCCACTCACTGGTTGCACACTTTGGGGCACCCCTGCGAGTCGCGGATAGATCCTTCCAGCCTTCCCCGCCTGCTGCACTGGTAGTCACCCTTCTTGCTGGAGCTGATCTGCCACTCGCAGTAAGGGTCCTGTGGTTTGAGGGTGACATGTGAGGTGACAGTTTATCATTGGCTGAAGGGTGTTAAAGCTGGGGGCGAGAGATTGCCTGGCTGGGAAGACCAACCTAACGGGCCTTACAATGGCAAAAAAAACCTAGTATACCTGAGTGCAAGCAGCGCAGTCACGGTAGTCCTCACAGAGGGTACAGTGCTGTGGAGTGATCAGCAGGTGGCGTTCCAACTCGCCAGACATCTCCAAGCAGGGTTCCACAGAGGTGCGGAGCAGACAACGGTTCTGTGGGGGGCACCAGCCACAGGACTGATCTGAGAGACAGGCCAGGCAGGAGTAGTACTCTGAGCAGGAGCTTGAGCGGTACGGCTCCAGGAAGAGGAAGGAGATCTCCTGCAAACGGGACCAGGGCAAGAAGGAGGAGACACCAGTCAGGAGGTTCCGGCAAGAAACCAGGAAAATAAATGTTATAAAATGTTAAATGGGCCAGTACTGACGCTGCCTCCAGGAAAGACGGTCCGGTTCCAGGTCAGGGCCATCTCACTGGTGTGGCCCGACCCAGAGTTGTTAAGGTAGCCCTCTGCCGCCACCAGGTAGCGGTTACCCCGGGTCAGGTTCTGGAAGAGACGGAATCCACTGGGCCTAGCCAGCAGATGGCTTTCCTTTTCCTGTTGGGCCCCCCAGCGGCCAATGACATCTGACTGAACAGTTGGGGGGGGGATTGAGGTTTGAGAGAAAAAAGTGTCAGGGCGTCTATGTCAGGTCAGTGGGCTGCAGCACTGTCCCGCAGGTGCCCTCGCTCACCAGTTTCAGGGAGTTGGGCCCTGCAGCCATGCGGGCCATGAAGTGGAGCCTCTGGATGCGCGCCCACATGGAGACCGTCTCTGTGGTCGGGGGTGCGGGGGGAGGGGAGCCCCACAGTGGGTGGATGAAGCCACGGAACTGCAGGGTGACGTCCATCTCGGTGGAGGGGCTGAGAGTGATGGAGGTGCTACGCAAGATGGAGACCTGGGGGGGAGTGCAAGTGAGGGAGGGAGCGAGACAGACAGAGTGGGGGGTGAGAGAGAGAGAAAGGAGGAGGGATGGAGAGAGGGAGGGAGAGATATGTGATATGCTGCAGTGTTGAGTGTTAAGCGTAATGAAAGCAGGCGGACAAGGGTGGCCTCAGCACCTTGTCTGGCTGGGAGTTGTTGCGTGGGTGCTGGAAAGTGAGCAGGTGCATCCCAGGGACGAAGTTCTCAGCACGGCAGGAATTGAAGAAGGTAAGAAAGCGCGTGCGCTCCCCCCACCAGCCGTAGGCCCCTGAGATCTGGTCCACGCGGCAGGCGCTCTGCTCTGATAGGCCAGATGAGGACAAGAGGCAGGTTCAGCAGTTGAGCTTTCCATTCGGCTGGTGTCACAGATCCACCACACACAAGCGACTCCTCACCTGAGACGGGCAAGCAGGACTCATTCTGCACGCACCACCCAAAATCCCCCGGGGCGCGGGGGAGCGAGGCCGGGCTCCCGCTGAACACCAGGCACGACTGACAGTCCGACAGGAAGCGGGCCAGGCCCAGGCAGCCGGTGCTGCCACACTGTGGTGCGAGACAGAAACGTGGTTATGGGTGGGGAGAGGTGGCATGAGCCTGGAGCGCCAAAGCAGGCAGGTGGGGTGTACCGGGTCAGTGGGCTGGTACTCGCGACAACGGCCTTCACACCAGCTGCACTCGGGGTTCTTCAGGCATGAGCTCTCATCAGGGGCCTCAGCGCACACAGCGTCCTGAGTGACAGGGCCCACACGCCCGCGTTACATGCAGATACAGCGACTCACCAAAGCACATCACAGATTGTGTGAGGAAAGTGCAAACCCACAGAAAGTCAAAGGTGGGAACTGATCCCACAACCCCGCAGGTGTGAGGCTACATCTCTACACACTGGTCCACCCCTAAATCACATCACCGTTAACACATGCATTACATTTTTTCCCCAAATGACTTTCCTCACCCTGTCTCCAGGATCACTGCTGACGAAGAGCGGGACTTTGTAAGCCAGCAGGTCTCCACGGGCGATCCCGCTGTAACCCCCAGCAACCAGGAGCAGGCGGCCCTCCATCACCGCAGCAACGTGGGAGTATCGTCCCCGCACAATGCCCCCTCCTGGTGGGTGGGGGGGGCATGACAGCTGTCAGTGGTGGTGATGACATTAAACCCTGGAGCATCCGTGCATTCAGCTAGACGTGGCTGGTGTTATAAGTCATTCAGTTGTGAGCACAGCTCAGGAATACGGATTTCTTTTTCCACCGCTTCCTGGGGCCCTCACTCGGCCCTCCCTGCACGGTACAGGCCTAACTACAGTGGCCCTGAATGTCAAACCACAACAACATTTCAAAAAACACAACAGTATTGAAAACACAACGACATTTCAGAAAATGGAAAGGGTAGGTCCACAAAAAATAAAGGTAGTTGATGATAACTATGACGAAAATTTTTCATCAACAAAATTAACACTGTGTTCCAGAACCAGTAGCGAATGAGAAGGATTCGCAGATGTTTGGTAGAGTCACTAAAAATGGTAATATGTGCTTATTTCTATAGTTTAAACCATAAATATGCTCCCAAAACACTTTAAATTAAAAGTTAGCTTAACACATTACCTTTAAAAAAACAAATGTTTCATGTAAAAATAGAGTACAGTATCGCCTAACGGATATTTGTCACTAGCACATTTACGGTACAGTATACTAATGTTACCCCTACTAATTCATAGAACACGGCATTGGCTGCAGTTTTCTTTTGCATTCACAGTAAGATAAAATGAGTAAACGAACCCTTTCAGTGTTTATAGCAAATGCGTCTCGAGAGGGAAACCCGGGACGCATTTGCTATGTACGTAAACATTAGCATCTTTCAAGAAATGTATAATTTTTGTGCATTGAATTTACATTAGCATGTACTTACTATTACAAAACAGTTAATTTACATGTAACCATTAGCGTTCCTGTCACATATTGCCGGGGCACGGACCGGGGAAGCAGGGACAGGACGCAAGGAAATCGGGGAAACACGGGTTTTAATCAAATGGGAAAGACAAGCAGGACAACGGGACAGGCAGCAAACTGAAAATGACGTCAATGACCGGACTCAGGAAACATACTTAAACGTAGACTTAAATACACAGGACTAATGACAGCAACTCGAAACAGCTGATCACACAGGGATTCATGAGAAATATTAAATGAACTGTCATGAGTGATATGGGTACCGTCCAATCGCAATCACTCCAAGACTACTGTCCAATCACGAACAAGAAGTGTGGTCCTACCCTTTCAGTTTTCTAAAATGTTGTTGTGTTTTCTGTAATGTTGTTGTGTTTTGACCTTCAGGGCCACCGTACTTAACCCTAACCCGCATCGACAGCCAACGCGCTCAGGTGGAGCTGACTCACGCTGTATGGGGTCCACCCCGCCAGTGACCCACTGGTGACAGCCCAGGTGATAGAAGAAAATGTCCTCGTCATAGCACTTTTCCTCTTGATAATGGATGTGCACGTTCCCACCTGAAAAAGAGGGAGGGGATGGATGGAGCAGAAGAGGGGAGGCTGACCACGACCAGCAGACAGGCAGGTTTCCCGTTCCTCTTGGTCATGCCGAGCGGCACGGCGGTCTCCTCACCGAACACAACCATATAGTTGCCGATGACGGTGGCAGAGTGGAATGCCCTCTCCCTGGGGCCGTTGGCCGGGAACCGGGAGCGCAGAGAGGTCCAGAAGCGCCGGTCCAGGTGGAACATGTCCGTGGAGTTGACGCGCACGCTGAACCTGAGGGCGACCGCACCGTGTCAACATGCTTATAGGGTGTCGCCGCCCCAGCGGACTCCGCGGGCCATCACCCTTACCTGGCGGTGGTGGGTCTGTGGCCACCGTAGACCAGCAGGGTCCGGGACGGCCGGTGGAACACCATGGAGTGGCCCGCTGTGGCCGGGGGCTTCCCCCCAGACGGATGCACCACCTCCCACTGGTGTTTCCGCAGGTCAAACCGGTACAAAATCGAGGAAAACATGTCCTCTGGGGTGCGTCCTGCGGGAGAGGTGACAGTCAGTGCTGGAGGCCGCCACCCGCCTCACACCCAAACGTGGCTAACGTACCCCCAAAGATGTAAAGGTAGCCATCCACCACAGCGGCCGCATGGTTCGCCAGTAGGGGAGCCCCTGGAAGGTCCCCTCTCCCAAACTGCTCCCACCTGTCCTCCAGGGGGCGGTACATCCAAATGTCGCCTGCTAGAGAGCCATTGGCAAGCTCGCCGCCATACACAAGCATCTTCCCCTGCCATTCGACGGCCGTGTGGGAGTGTCGAGCCGCCTGCCATGAGAGCAATGTTATTTCCCTATTCTCACCAGCAGGGGGGTGATAATGATTTGTCAGTCGCATTAAATCACAACAGCATATGAAGGGAGGGTGAGCTGGCTGGCAGCTGGTTAAGGCAAGGCAGTAAGACGGCCCCGCAGGGAAATGGGACCAATGAGAGCTCTCATCGGTAGGAGCTGAACCAGGGGCGGTTCTCACCGGTGTAACCATGTGCTGCACCTCCTCCCACTGGTTACTTGTGAAATTGTACTTCACCAGGTCCCCCAGAGCCTTGTTCAAGTCAAACCCTGACATGGGCAATGGACACAGCAAACGTCAGATAACACAAAAACATTGATGTGCTCAACAGGTAAGATGAGCCAACGGCAAGCTGTAGAGGCCACAATGGACGACGGAACAGACATTGAACATCTAGTATGTCATCATCTTATCAGAATAGACCAGTAACACCAAAACAGGCATCAGGAATCCCTTAGTTAGATTCCCGATTTCAATTCACACGTGTTACAGTTTTATTTAATGGAAAAACACATGGATTTTTGCAATTGTAATAAAAGCAATAAGAGGTGTTGAGAGTCTCACCCCCAAACAAGTACATGGCTTCAGTGGAGGGCAGGTACACCCCAGCGGCAGCCGTGCGGCGTGGCGTGTTGGCGTCGCCCCCGCTGACCTCCCACCACTGCCCTGCCCCGCTGTCGTCACGGAGACCCAGCTGGCAGCTCTGCCCGACAAAACCGGAGCTGCACAGGCAGCGCTCACCCTTCTGTGGAGACAACATCCTGAATCAATAACTGGGGAAGTGAGAGCCTCCACACAGAGAAGCATATCTTTGTGCCCTATTTGATCTTAATTCAGCATATTTTCAAGTTCTTTATTATTTATGGGATTGACTGCATCTTTTGGTGAGTGTGGTGAGTGAGGAGAGTAACCTGAAGTAAAGGGACAGAAGAAACAGTAAGCTCTAATGTGGCCGGCCCACCTTGTCACAGGAGCCGTGCAGGGGGCAGACATGAGGGCAGAGCGGGCTGCTGCAGTCAGGCCCCCCCCAGCCCTCAGGACAGAGGCAGTGGGCTGATAGTGTGTCGCAGCGCCCATGCCCGCTGCAGGCTCCCGGGCACACCGAGAAGGAGTAGGTGGCATTGAAGCCCAGCAGGTTGTAGTTTGCATCACTGAACAGGTGCAGCAGCATCTGGGAGAGAGAGAAGCAGACCAGGCCAGATGCATGGGCTGGGAGTCGACAAAAACAACACAGATCCAAAGAGAGAGCGCTCCTTTTTACAGCACTCCTTCGGACCTCCAGACAGAACTTCCCAGACATTATGATGTATACAATGCTGATACTGTTTTGTGCAGCTGATTTGTAGCATATCACGGCTGTCTTATTTCTGGCTATGCAAACGTGTTACCATGTGTATATTACACGTATATATACAAATGTATTATTACCTTGCCAGACTTAGCCTCGATAGGCTGTGGCAGGGTCGTACCGCTGAGGCTGGCCAGCAGGGGGCTCCGGTATGAGTCGCCATCATAAACAAACAGGTAATCGTAAGTGCACTCCGTCTCCATGAAGGTGAAGTTCAGAACAATGCTGTAACTGCTGCTCGGGGCTGTGGCGGTGAAGAAAAAGGGCAGAATATCAGGAAATTCCTTATTGCATTCGAATTGAATGCATTTTAAAGATCACCAATAAACTAAAGGATTTAGGATTTTTTGGTTTGGTGGTAACAAAGCTACAATTGTGGAATTATGTCAGAAATTAATATAAATGCACAGTTTAGGTAACTGCCTGAATTACTATCTGTTGGGGTTCTCGCTTTTTTCCCTTAAGATAGTTAACTAAGCTGGTTTTGAAGACAGATTAGGTAGTGCTTAATTGTGAGATATACTTCACCATGTTCCTCAAGGCAGGTTTTTTAAACTGCACTTATTTTCCAGAACATTATGTTGCATCCATTCTAGGTAGGGTGACCAGAAAATCCATGTCAGGGAGGACACTTTGAGCTAGGACAGTACAGTGGTACCTCAGTTCTCGAACTTAATCCATTCCGGACTCTGGATCGAATCCTAAAAAGTTTGAGTTCTGAGCGAATTCTTCCCATAAGAAATAATGGAAAACCAATTAATTGGTTCCCGGCCCCCCAAAATTACACCTAAATGTGTTTTTTTCTTTAAATGCTTTTTTTTTAAAAAAAAACACAAAATGAACAGGATAAAACAAGAGCAGCATTTTTTTCTTAATGGCTTCCAAAACGATAAAGATCTTATCCCAACATTACCCCTGTGTAACTGTCGCTAAGATGGTTATTTTATAATTACTTTTTTGTTGGTTTGATTTAATATAGAATTCATACTGTGTTAAATGTGTATCAGTGCCCTCTGCTGACTATTTAATTGATCCGTGTTAACCTTTGAACACATGGTCATGTGACTGAATTGGGCAGGAGTGAATGCACTCTGGGAGATTCATGTAGTCGACTTGTGGGGAAGCTTGTCACGGCAGAACCTGTAATAACTCCTAAACATTTGGTCAGAAGGCACACACGGTAATTTCTATTTATTGTATTTACTTGTTGTCTTGTGTTGATTGTGCTGTTTAGCAGTAATATTGTGGATCTTTTATGATGTTTGTAAGATTAAATGTAATGTAGGAATTTAGTAATATGTTTATTTTATAGTTTTTCACGGTGTTAGAAAAATAAAGACGGAATAAACTTCAACATCAGTCGGGCGTATGTTTTCTGCACCAAATGAAGAACTGTTAAACCCTGTCCTGCCCCGATCGTCCGCTCCTTCCGTGTGCCACACCCCTCGTTAACCTCATGTGGGATCCCCATGTGATCAGCTGTTTCTGGTTGTTGTCATTAGTCCTCTGTATTAAGTTCGTGTTTCAGTTTGTTTCCCCAGTCCGGTCATTGGGTGTGTTCGACTTGCTTACAGCGCTGGCTTAAAGCAACGCATCCTGATCCTGACGCAATGCATTATGGTTAGATGCATTGCGACCTCTCACCCGGCTGCACAAACTGGAACCGCCTCCATGACGACACACCTTTGCCCTTATTGGCTGAAGAGTTTAGTTACACGCATGACGTTTGTATCCCAGGCAGTTCCGATGCGTAATCTGTTATTTCTCCCGAATATCACGTAAAGCAGTGAGAACTGGTTTTCAGTTAATTTACCTGGTAAAATAAAGTTTAAATAAATGACACAAATGTTCTAATAGTACACGTTAGTGGTTTATTTATTGTTAGTTACTGTAATGTTGCGCTGCTTTATTTGGTTAATCGTCCAGTCTGTGAAGAAGGCATTCAAGTAAGAATTGCATTGTAGTATGACTCATTTCCTGGCGCATACAATTTATATTAGGTCAGCGCTCTCGGTTCGACTTCTGATATTCAGATCGAGTTCTAGGTCAAACTGGTTTGTTCGACTTTCAAGAAATTCGAGTTCTATTGAGTTCAAGAACCGAGGTACCACTGTATTTGTAAACAACATTTTCAATGAAAAGGATCTGCAGGAGGTCACTAAAGGGCGTAATTCTTGCTGTGTGCTGATTGGTCAGTCTCATCATGCGTGTATCACTAATGTTATTGTGAAATAGCTGAATGTGTCTTTCTATCAAGCAAACAAATCAGTCAAAACACAAGAAGAATTTAACTATTTAGTCAAGCACAAGAGCCTTTCGGTTTTAAAGCAGTTTGTAAAACTTGAAGTAGCTCAAAGTGTCCCAGACATTGATTATCTGGTCACCCTAAATAAGGCACACTGAACTAACACCATTATTCTGTCAACCCAACCTTTCCTTACCCTTAATCAGCCACTCGCAGTTGCCATTGACAGAGTAGTTTCCCGGCCCATCTGTGACATACCCTGGAGGTCCCCTGAGCACCTGCCGTTGGCCCTTACAGTCCCCAGCCTGGCTACTGGAGACCCAGGCCCACAGCAGGACCATCAGGAGGGGAGAGAGCCAGCCAGCCATCTCTCCCACATCCAGTCCGGGGGCACAAGATCAAGGCAGGAGTCAGTCCTTCAGCTAGTTTAAAAACTGGGAACCTAAAACTGAAACCCAGAAATGTGACTGATTAAAGTTGCCCTGCATGTGGCCCAGTCCAGTCCAAACAAACACTATAACAACACCATGATGGGGAAAATGGGGAAGGGTCGGATCAAATGCTGAAGCCTGGCTAATGTTTGAGAAGTAGAAAAGTTCAGGTCTTAATAACTGTAAAGTCACGGAAACAGAACACAAGTCAAATATAACAAGGAATCACCTTAGCGTTTACTGGTAATTATTTATTTGCATTTTGTCTTCCTACGACAATTTCTTTCTGGACAACATATTTTAAAAAAGCGACTAGAGCACCAGCTATATTTCAACAGGAGTCCAGGTAAGCTAAAAGATAACTTTTCATTCAGCTGCAGTAATATACTTGCATAACGTGCAGTATGATAATAATGCACAGTAAAAGCTGAGAACTGTATCATCTCCGCTTGGAAGGAAAGGCTTCGCTATGCAAGCCTTAAATAGAATTTAATCGCTAGGCAAATAATACGCAGAGTATTAAACTAACTCAATATTTAAATGAAACTGTAAGTTGAAAACGACAAAGGTTTTCCAAACCTCACCAAGCAATTTAGGCTGTTCGCCGAAGTTATAAACAGCTACGCATCCAGCGAGCGAGATCTTTATACATTTCCTTTTATATAAAAAATGTAAACAATTCGATAATTGTTATTAACTATCGTTCAAATATTACCGTTAAATAATGTACACATCATAATATACAGCCGCTAGCCCATAATAATCACAACAAAAAATAAAACGGTAATAATGATGACGATTACCGTTATTATAACACTATCGCTATTATTATTATTTTAAATAACGATAATGATATTTGTACTACTTACCGGTTTCCACGTCGTCATATTCACATTTCTATTTATCCTCCCACACACTCCCCAAACGAGGCGGCCGTCCGCAGCACTGCCAAGCGGCCGCCGCACTGAGCTTACACGGCTAAAGGACGGCCTCCAGCCGGCCACCCACTCCAGTCTGAGGATTTGTTGGGGCCTGTAGAAAGGACCGCTTCGGATGCAAACACAAAGGCGGCCGCTAGCGGAGCTGCAAAACGACACACGGCAGATGCACGGCGTCGTAAACACCACTGAGGGGCATGTCAGTCCGCCATTTGAAGAAAACTGCGGCGATCACTGCGGCCACGGACCGGATACCAGCTCGGGCCACACAAAACGGGGACAACGGATGGACGGTGTCACTATCGAAAATGTTACACCTACCGAAAACCTTATGCAAGATTACTGTCAAGCACTAAAAGCAACGCGTACACAGATGCAAATATTACAATTGGCAAAGCAATATGGTTTAAATACCACAATAAAGTGACGGCTGAATATAATGAATTGATGAATATAAACATCAATGACCCATCTCACAATACGTGACCAATGAATGATGATACAAGACGTCCACGCCCTGAATCACGCAATCACGGTCTGCCGCAAAATGTGCATACATGCGCAGTATTGGGCCTGTGGAAGTGTACATTACGCATGCGTAATAAAGAAGTGCCGGAAAATGTGGTTTTGTGGACGCATGCGTGATTTATGTGCGCATGCGTAGTAGTGGAAGTTACATTTTCGGTAGGAGTAACATTTTCGGAAGTGACAAGGTGTAACATTTTCGGTAGTGACAGACGGATAGACAGAAGATGGTACAAACAAGACGGCGTGTCCGCTAGCGTGCCCAGCGCCGTGACGTCACGGCCACGTTCGGTCACGAAACACGGGCCGAATACTGCCGAAACGGGCACCGAACCAGGGGACGAGCGGCGGTGTGTCCGGCTCAACGATCCGGGTAACTGGTAACTGGAGCCCAAATAGAAATAAACATACAAATTCATTACATGTTTTCCCTGGTGCCATAGGTGTGAGGCAACTGCGCGCCACCATATGGTCATATTCCAACAAAATATACAGATAATATTACTATAAATATTATGTAGAACAGGCAGTTTTGGGTGTTCCCCAAAGCAGAACGTCCCGGTTAGCTGGATAACTTAAGCCAAACAGTAAAACTGTCCAATAGGTGGAAAGGTAAGTAAACATTCCTGTTGGACAGTACTTACATTTTACTTATCTGGCTAAAGAAAAAATCCTGCTTTGTGGAATACCCCCCGGAAAACTGGTTTTAGTGTGAACAATGAACCGCCATACACACAGGATAGCGGTTTTCCTAAGCCAGGGATGAGCAAGGACTTAGCTATATGAGCAACACAAGGTAGCAGCAAGGAAGTTATAATTTTTGTTGTCATTCGTAAATGCCATCCAGTTTTGTCTTAAATCACTTCTTCATCCCTGACAGAAGTAGTATTCCTACATTGCTATATTTGTTCACGTTCTTGGCCTAAATTGTGCCCCCCTATAGGCGCCTATGTAGTACTGCATCTACATGCATTTTTTTTTTTAAACAGGAAGAAGGAGGAGCTGTTGACCTAGCCTAGCGTAGCCTCGCCACTTGCGGATTGATTGGATTACAGAAAATTGTTAAGTATAAGTGTTTACATTTAAAAACAAGTGCCACTGACACCTCTACGGATCGGTAGAGGAACCAGACCTTTTTTTGTTTTGAACCCTGGAGAAGTGAGCCGTCATTTCCTCGGTGAACTGATGAGAAAGTGAAAGTAAAGTATCGAGACGGGAGTCATGGAGGACTACGAAATGCAAGAGAGGCCCTCTCTCCTTGAGGAGGACCTCACATGTCCTGTGTGCAAGGATATATTCAAGGAGCCCGGGCTCCTGCCCTGTAGTCATAGCTTCTGTCGTGACTGTCTGGAGCGCTATTGGCAGCAGAAGGGAATCCGTGAATGCCCGGTGTGTCGGAAACGGTGCGAAGGGGAACCCATACCTAACCTGGCCCTGAGGAACACTTGCGAGTCCTACCGGAAGGAGAAGGGCTGCTGGGCGCCATCCGGGCTCGAGCCGCTCTGCGGTCTGCACCGTCGGGAGCTGGTGTTGTACTGTGTAAAGGATGAGGAACCGGTGTGCGTCGAGTGTGTCACACTGCACCCGGGGCACGAGCTGAGGCCAGTGGACCGGGGAGTGCCGGCCTGCAAGGTAGGAGGCATGGAACTTTGCGATCATCATTCACAGGCATTAGGGGGAGCTGTGAGTGTGGAACCTGTTTGACAGGGAAATTTCACACATAACATTGTTTTAAATTTGTCATTTGTATCCTGTCCACTTTAGGAAGAGCTTAATATTAAAATAAAGGTCTTGGAGGAGAAGTTGGACCTATATAAGAAAATAAAAAGAAAATACAGTGAAACACTGGAACACATAAAGGTAATATGGCTGTTTGCCATTCATTTTAAACTGACATTATTTCAGACAGGACAGGGTGCTCTGATTTTTTTGTGTGACACGATGTGGCAAGCTAGCTTGCTAGTTTAATGTTTTGACTCCAGATTCACCCTGTCTGTTAACTTCTGCTACTTAGAAAAATGCCCGGTTGAATTTTTGACTCAGAATCAGGGGTTTCAAAGCTTTATTAAACCAGGATCAAATGAAAATAGTCCAGAGCTAAGAACTATATGTGTGCACACATATAAGAAATTGGACCAGTCACCCCTTAAATATTTTTTGCATTGCATGAACTGAATTACTGTTAACCTGTAAACATACAATGTGCTTCTGTAGACCCTCAGTTGAAAATCCCTGACCAAAGTGAAAGAAGATGGCTAGTTAAATTACTGCACAGTTAGTTTTTCCAGAGATAAATAGGGGTCTCCAACTCCAGTTTTGGAGAGCTCCTGTCCTGTAGGTTTTCTATCCTACTTGGCTTCTGATGAGCCACACCTGTTCTCAGGTAAATACCAGGAACAGGCGTGGCTCATCCAAACCCTGGTATGATAGAAAACCCTTCTGTATAGTATCTCTCCAGGATCTGAGTTGGAGACCCCTGCTTTGACATGATTCACTCCATTAAGGGGCCTGGTATATTGTGCTAAACTGCTTTAAGAAACATAAATAGCTGATCCTGCGTGCTGATCCTGGTCCTTTTGCTCAGGCAGTTCCATGTCATGTTTGTTAAGCCCAAGATTAGCCCAAATATTACACTCTGTACATTAATTGTATTTTCAGATAGATGATCATTTGAGGGGAATGTGTAGCTCAATGGGTCAGACTTTGGCCTCAGATCTTCAGAGTTGTAGGTACAATTCTGCCTCCACTATTTTTTGACAAGCTTGAATTCATGTGAGTTGCCTCTGGATTCTTCCTGCAGTACAAACACATACATTTGGAAAACTGGCATCTCTGAATTGTCCACAGAGTGTGACTATGCCATGTGGTCCAATGGCATCCAGTCCAGGCCTCTGCTCTGTGCTTCCTGGGATATGCTCTGAGCTCACTGTGACCTTGTGCTGGTGAAGCTGTCGAAGATAGATGATTGAATTTTTTTTGCATTGTGTGCAATCAGAGTAGAAAATAACTCGGGCTGCTCTCTTCAGATTCAGACTCAGCAAACGCAAGTGCAGATAAGCAGCGAGTTTGAGAAGCTCCGAAAGTTCCTGGCAGAAGAAGAAGCACGAAGGATTGCTGAGCTGAAGTCAGAGGAGGAAGAAAAGAAGCAGAAAATGAAGAGCAGGATTTCAGAGCTGAATAAAGACATCTCAAAGCTGTCAGAGCTGCTCCAGTCCATAAAGAGGGAGATGGGGGCAGAGGACCTGACCTTCTTGCAAGTATGAGATCTTTTTGCATACTTGGCCAGAACTGACATCACAAGCATTTAAGGTTAAGATGAAACTTTATTGATCTCAGTATCCAGTGCAAACAAGTGAACATGGTTCAAACGGATCAAAAAAGTACACAGTACACAAATAGAATATCTTGAGAAACGGAATATTGGAATATTAAACTAACATACTAACTAGTAATAATGATGACGATAAGGATAATATAATATATATATCTCCGTAATATGACAAAAAACGGGATGCTTCCTGATGTGTTCTGGCCAGTGGTGGAGGGTGACTCGTCAGGGGGAGGTATTGTGGGGCCTGATGGCAGCAGTTGGAAGGATCTCCAGTAATGCTTTGTTGCACACCATTGGGTAAATGTGCTCCAGGACAGCGCCCCCTGAGTGCTTGGCTAGAATTGGTTCATAATGTTGTCCATTTTTGCCAACGTCCTCTTTGCTACTGTCACCACTTGTGAAAAAGAAGTCTAATAAAGCATTTACATTAATAATGGTAATAATAACAGTACACAGTAACATTGTGACCCTGTACTAGATTAACTCTTATAGGAGGTGGGTAGTAAAGTTATTAATTGCTTCATTTTATAGTTTTCTAGTTAGTGTGGGATCATTTAACCCGTACAGTACATCACTGCAATTTTTTTAGTCTGTCAAAATTGTAGAAGTAAGTGAATTCACAAAAACTTTCCAGAAAATATTATTGTTTGCCTTTCAATATCATGGATTTCATGGAGTTTTTTTTTTCTTCATATTTGTACATTTAAAAATGCATTGTCAATGATGCGTTGTTTTTTTTTTCAGAATTTCCAATCCTTAAAAAGAAGGTAAGTACACTTCACTACATATACCAGCATGCAGTTTTCCAATTCTTCGCCCAATCCCACACAGCAGCCAACTCCGAAATGTCGCTTCAGGGCCCAGTGGATCAACGAGGATCCCCCGAATGTCGCGGGAGGGCTCATTGATGTGGCTGGTCACCTGGGATCCTTGGGTTACAGGGTCTGGGAGAAGATGCAGTCGTGTGTTCAAAAGAGTGAGTATAACTGGGGTCTGTGAAGACAAAATGTGAGTTTTACAGTTACCTGGGATATCCGCCTATTGAAGGTTCAGCACAGCATGTGAAAATCAGAGTCATGATCTCTGTGAGACGCATAAACGTATTTCTACAGGTGATAGTAAGATTGGAGTCACAGCGCAGGTCCAGCCAGCATTCAAGGCCCCTGTTGAGATCGAAGGTTCAAGGACCCAGTGGCATCATTTGTCTGTTGGCCCTGGGATTTGAACCGACATACGCTGCCCCTAGGCAAAAATCAAGAAAAAAGGGTCCAAATTATTCAGTTAATCATATAGGTAATTACAGGAATTATAATTAAGAGATAAAAAATTTTATGAAAATAAATGAAAGCATGGCTGGTCTCAAAATCCAAATCTTGTATTTGTCAATCAAATCAGTCAAAGGGGCAGTTCACCCCAAAACTGAAAAAAAGATATGTTTTAGAGGGGCTTTATTGCTATCAATCATCTAAATTGTTCTGCTGGGAGTTTACTAGTTTTGGAGATATCAGTTGTAAAAATGTTGGGCTTCTGTCAAATATAAAGGGAGTGTGTGGCATTCTTTCTGTGGTGATTAAAACACCA